ACCTACCAATTCTGATAGACAACCATTTCAACTACATGAATATTTTTTTCATATTTGTACTAGCTATTACGATCCATAAAAAGCTTAAAAGTACAACTGCTCTTAACTTATGTTCGCCATTATATTTATTGAACTTGTTTTAATGAAAAAAATTCTTCTTTTGTTTAGAGCTCACGCGAACAATTAGCTATAGCGGAATTTGCAACAGCATTGTTATCAATACCGAAAGCATTGAGTGTTAATGCTGCACAAGATGCAACAGAACTTATTGCTAAACTTCGTGCTTATCATAATGCATCACAAACACAAAAGGATAAAGAACAACTTAAATGGTTTGGTTTAGATCTTCAAAGTGGAAAAGTTCGTGATTGTAAATCAAGTGGTGTATTTGAACCAGCTATATCAAAAATAAAATCATTAAAATATGCAACTGAAGCAGCAATTACTATTTTACGTATTGATGATATGATTAAACTTGATAAAGAAGAAAAGAAAGGTGGACATGGCGATGAGTGCATGTAATCAACATAAATTCATCGAAAAAACTGTTTGTGTTTGTGTGTGATTTTTGTGTGACATCATGTTATCGTTGCTGGTTTTTTTATTTGCTATTTTCATTGTTGCCGTTTTTCTTTCGTAGGAAAAAATTCTTACACGTATAAAAACAAAGTCTTTTTTTTTGTCATTCATTAAGATTATAAGGTTATGTAGAGAATACGATCATGAATGGTTGATTGCAAACAAAGTATAATTAAATAACAATTATTTACAAATGGATATTTGATTGAAAAGGATAGAGTATTTTTAGTTGTACTGTGAGTAAGGAGATGCAGTGACCACAAATATGTCGAACAGTGTATGAAGAATTTATTATGTCATTAATTCAATGTTATTCGATTGCACTTTCTTCTATTGCTGGTGCTAATCATCTAATTCAGGATGATAACACATTAATAGCCCAGATTTTGAATGATGTAGCAACTATAAAACAACAAGATATTGATGAAAAGCGTTATTTTCATACATTAAATGATCGTCTTGAAGATTTACTTCATTATTTAGATGATTTGGAATTAGGAAATAAAAATTTATGTAATAACCTTAATTTATTAATAGCAAATTGGGGAATCGTTGAAGAAAGTCATGCTCAGTTTTTACATGAACTTGATAATTTATTACAATATTTATCTGAACAAAATCGTCGTAAAATAAGTGTACAAATTGAAACAAAAATATTTGATGAACAAATACAATTAACTGATCGTATTCAATCGATTTTTCTTGATGTACTTAATTCATATAATGAAAAACATGATATATTACATGATTTAATAAATCAATTAGAAAATGAATCTGATAAAATTCAACTTCGACTTGACATAAGCAACAATCTAATAAAATCTCATGTGGATGATTATCAAAAAGAATTAACTAGATTTCGTTTTTATCTATCAGAATGGTCACAAATGACATTAGATAAACAAAATTTACTAAATGAAATTCAATCACTCAAAGAACATTATAATCTTCGCTTAGGTTATAATCAAGAAGAAATTAATGAATGGAAGCGTTTATTAAATCGTTTAACACAAGATTCGAAAAATTTTTATCAAGATTCTTTAGAAATAATAAAACAACAATTACAAATTGATTATGAACAAATGCTTAAAGAACAACAAATGGATGTTGAAATAGAATTAATAACACAATTAAAAGAAATACAAAATAAAATTCATATGAATTTATCTATTGATGAAAATGGTTCAAATTTAACTTTAATCATTTTCTTGCTATTGAATCGTTTTTTGTTTAGATAAACAACGACATCGTGAACGTACTCAACATTTCGAAAATCGTCTTCAAGAAAATACAAAAGAATATGATCGTCTTGAATCTGATTATCGAAGATTAACTGAAGAAATTCAACATAAACGACAAATATTACAAGATCTTGAAAATCAAGCAAAAACAAAAGCACTTAAATATGCTGAACAACATGCTCGTCTTGGACATGATACTGATTTAATACGTGCAGAATATTATGCATTAAAAGATGAATTAGATAAATTAGTTTATACACTTCGTTTTAATATTGAAGAAGAATTAAAAATTTATGAAGTTTTATTAAATTCATTAGATCGAGGAAAAGATGTTCATTCATCTCTTAATAAATTAACTCATTCTCAATTATCCAAAACCAGTATGACAAGAACAATAGATATTGATCATTCATCAAAATATCAATCTCCACTTACATCAAGAGATATTATATCAACAACATTCGATAAAAGTGGAATTGAACAAAATACAATTAATCAAAATCAAAAGATGACAACACAAACAACACAATCTTTTCTTCATGAAATGGATGAACAACAAATGAACATAAGTACGAATAAAAACGAGCAACATATGTCTGAACGTGATGAAGAATATGTACAAAGCATAACCCACGTTAAACGTAAATATAAAGGTCAGAATGAAAAGAAAAGTTTTTTTAAAAATTATTTCAAGTTTTTTTTTTTTTTTGTCTAGGAAAGATTCGTATTAAATCTGTTGATATTCAAGGTTATTTTGTTGAAGTTGAAAATATAAGTAATCAACCACATGATCTTACCGGATGGTATATCGAACGAACAGTTGACGGTCGCCGTATGAATTATGCATTTCCTGCATTTGAACTTGATTCACATAAAACTGTTCGAATTTATGGAAATTATGATCAACAATCATCAATATCAATGACAGATGATTCTTATTTACAACTTATTGCACCAAACTTTTATGACTGGAATACGGGACAACAAATGCGTACAGAACTATTTAATCGTGATGATATTATTAAAGCATTATTTGAACAAATAATAGATGATTAAAACAAAATTCAATGTGTATAGTTTAGTTTACAATGAAATATTTCGAAATAAAATAAAATAAAGAAAAGGATATTTTAAAAGTTTCAATAGATGACTAACATTTTAAAATCATCGGTTAACTTTTTTTTTCCTGTTTTGGCATAGCTCTTATCTAATCCAGATATGCATGAAGAGCACCTATTTTCGAATTTTGTCCAATGTCTAAGAACCTAGCAATCAATTTCATTTGTATTTCAAATACATTATTGTCTAAGATAAAATCGATTTGAGTTATACTTGTATTAAAAGCATGAAAGTTAATGCTAAATCTCTCGTCGCCCCATGAAAAACAATGAAAATAGCTAGATGTTTATTAAGAATAAATTATACGTTAAATATTATCATCGTATCTTGATTTCATAGCAATCAAAGAGACGAATTATGAAATATAAGTTCAGATATTTCCTGCATTTTATTTTGAAATGGATAATAGTTAAATTAGTTTGTATCAGATCAGGCAAAATGTTTGTAACATTGAATATCACGCATATATTTCACCACATATAAATCATATACTGTTGGTTTTGCATTTGAAAGATGCATCCGTCGCACTCTCTAAAAAAAATGGTAATAAAGAATCCTACTGAATTATTATGATGATTTCATTATAAGGACCAAACTGACACATGCTATGATGATGAAAATATTTCATGATTCTAAGAAGAACAAAAATGAAAATTAATATCAAAAATTTTTTTTTTTCAAACAATATACTTAACGATTTCATCAGATGCTTTGTAAAACTATTATTGTAAAAAGCGATACAAAAATCATGATTGTTCAAGAACAAAACAATCAGCATTGTGCTCTTTGATTGGACGAACTCTTTGAAGAAAAGAACCGACCACTTTGCAACATAATTCACATTCATTTTATAACACGCTTCTTTTATCTCTTTCTTCGGACATTCGCATGTTTTAACCTTTCGATAATTAATGTTTTTATTAACACTATTCCAAGTAGAACAATGTAATAGTTTTAAGCCTCGTGAGTTAGAAGACCTTCGAGTTTTACAGGTAAACAATTTAAAATAACGATAAGACGTTTACTTTTTGTCATCTAAAAAGTCATCAACAAAAACAGAAGAAGATTCTCTCATGGGAACGTAGTAAACAATTAAAGAACGTATGACAAAAAAAAGTAAATCAAGGTTTTATGAGATATTCGTCATGAGATATATCCTAAACAATTAATGTTATTTTCATTTTTGTTTCTCTCAGAATAATGGGACATTTCATTTTCATACAACACTTTAGCTTTAGCCTTATAATAAAACGATCATACCAATTCAATGAAATTCCTAATTGTCGTTCAATTGATTAAATTAATGGACGCATCTTTCAAATATAAATCAAGATGATAGAAATTATCTAGGATGATAATATTTGCAAAAATACCTAATATCGCAATTACTTTGTCTCACTCAATATATAACTTGAAAAAAGAGTTCTTTTCTTGTTTTGAATTTTTTATGGGAAATAATTTTTCTCTTGTTCATGTGAAATTTCTAAAGCTACTTGTCATTTTGTTTTTCTCATAATCGATCGCATAACAAATTACTCAATAAAAAGAGCTATCATTCGAATTATTAACATAGAATAACACAACGAATGTCTATATTAGATAATCTTCGTTCTAACTGATCCACCTGCTTGACATTTTTTTTTCGCTTTCTGTTAAAATAGTTAAAGGCGTGAATTGGAATTTTAAGTCGATCATATATGCATATATACGCACAGCTTGATATCGATATTAAAGAGTGCGTGTGAAGAGAAAAAAAATCTGTCTTCATATTCTCTCGTTTTATATTCATTCGTTTCGTGTGGCATTTTGCAATTAAACGACGTGGGGAAGGAGAAAAACAAAAACGTTCAAAGCGAACGAAGAAGAAAAAAAGAAATATCGTTCTAATCCGAAAGGAGAACAAACACATATATATATATATAATCACATTCCACACATTCCAACGTCGCTCTAGTTCATTCATTTAAAAGAAGACACTTTCAAAATTATTCAACCAAAATAAAATCATATTTTCGTTCTCTTCTATACAGGTGAAACATTATACACATACATAGTGTCTCGATGGCACATGCATTTGATAATCGAAATTTTATTCCGGGTAAACAACAAACATTCTATTCTGTTGTTTCACCAACATCACGTCCTGATATAACAAATGTTCTTTGGGAAACTTCATCATCACCTAGAATTCAATCATCATCATCATCATCACCACCACAATCTTCACCAAAACCAAATCATCCTCCACCATCATATGAAGAAAGTATTTTTAATAAAGCTTTAGCTAATCGTCAAAATTCTCGATCATCATTACATTCACCATCAGTTCATTATTATTCAAATCATCAACAACAAAATAGTCCAAATCGAACAACAACACCATTTATATCGTATTCATCACCATCAACACCAAATGATTCTATTCATTATCAAAGACAACAACAATCAACAAAAGGTAGGAAAAAAAATTGCATCAATGATTCATTTATATATGATATATTATTCAGAAGGATATTATTCATTTGTATCACCACATCGAAGTTCTGATACAAAACCTCCACCACCTGCTCGTATGCCTAAAGTATCATCAACAATAAATAATAATTCTCTTCATCAAACAAATATTTTACCTCAATTTTCACCAAGTGGAATGAAAACAAGTACAACATATCTTAATACAACACAACTTTATATAACTCAATCATCATCTCGTGATCCACCACCACCACCACCACCACGTTATCCACTTCAACCACCAGCTATTCCACCACGAGGTTCACCTATATGTAATCAATCGAATTCAGTAGTTATTCCTGATTTTAATTCATCAGCATCACCAAAACCTACAAATCAAATGATTTATCGATCACCTGTTATATCATCAACAGCGAGACGAAATGATATTATTGATTCTCATACACTTGAACATCAATTTAATTCATTATCCATTAATAATAATCATAAACATGAAACAATTAATAGATCGATCATAAAAGAATATTCAATATGTCAGTGTCGAAAATGTGGTGAAATAATATCAAATTCAGATGATGCTTGTGATATACTTGGTCAGATCTATCATAGTTCATGTGCTGTCTGTGTTTTATGTGGACGATCAGTAAAAAATAAACATTTTTTTGTTAAAGATCAATTATATTGTGAAGAAGATTTTTTGGTAAAAAAAAGATCTTTTTTAAATGAAAAATTCATTTCGTTTTTATTTTTATTTACTTTCCTTCTGTTTTAGTATACAGGTTTTCATCAAACACTTGAACATTGTATAGCTTGTGGTCATTTAATTACCGATACAGTATGAATAGTAGTTTTCTTTAAATTGATTAGTTTATATTTAAATTAAACTTAGATTTTACAAGCACTTGGTCATTCATATCATTTGACATGTTTCAAATGTTCAAAATGTTCAATTTGTTTAGATGGTATACCATTTATAACAGATAAAAATCAAAATCTTTTTTGTTTACATGATTATCATATGTAAGTTATTGCTAATGAAATGAAAACAATCATTGTTCTTTGATTTATCAGGACTTATGGACCGCGATGTGATAAATGTTCGAATCCAATTTGTCCAGAAGATGTAAGATAGAGTTAATCATATTTATTAGAATTAGTTTTATATAATTTAAGGGTTCCAATGAAACTGTACGAATTATTTCCATGGGTAAAACATTTCATGTTCAATGTTATCAATGTCAAGTATGAATTTTCATTTATACATTTATATGTTAAATTAATATAATTTCTTTAGGATTGTTCATTACAATTGAATGATGAACCAGATCGTCGTTGTTATCCATTAGGTGATATATTACTTTGTCAAGCATGTTGTCGTCGACGTCTTACATCTGTTAATAACAATTTATAATATTGAATATGTTCTTTTCATTCTTGTTTTTCTTTGTCAGATATTATTTCGCCATTAATAAGATTATTTTTTTTGTTGTTCTTAATTAAGAAAAAAAAATCAGTTTTTGCTTTTTCGACTAATTCATCCAAATTGATACATGTATGAATCAATCACTGTATATAAGCTATTAATCTTTTATTAGAAATTTTAAAGAATATATTCATCTATGTTTTAACGACAATAGTAGTTATATTAAAGACTAGATTGGAAAATATTTTCTATTAAAAGACATTAAAAGAAATACTATGATATGATATGGCTTTCGTGTCTTAAGGACCTTCCTCTCAGAAAACTCGATTTTCATCAAAAAAAAAAGAAAAGATTTTTCAAATAAACATGTGAACATGTTGCTTGAGTTGCATAATGTACGAATTTATAAAGATGGTTTTGATTTTCGAAGGCTTTTGGGAGTTTATGAATAATCTTTGAAACTATCTAGAGTTGAGTTAGATCTGTAAAATGAACAGATGTCTTTTTTTTTAAGGTAATCAAATTTTGCATATCTCAAGGTCACACTTTTGAAATCTTCAACAACATGAAAGTGCAATTGAGGAATTTATTCTGTACCCATCCCATGAAAGTAGATGTTTTATATTAAAAAAAAATAGTACATTTCTTGTGAGTTATTAATAAAAACGACTCATCATTATCAGTCTTTAAAAAAATTATAAAACAAAAAAATGAATTTAAGTATTAATTTGTTTTTCTTCTACTTGTATTATATTGTTGATTTATATAACAAGTATAAAAGCGACTTTAGGTTGCATCATCTATTGTGATGTATCTCGTACAAGGACAATCTAATGTACGTACACAAATGCTTAGATTGACATATAATATATTCATACTTCACCTTCATTTTGAGTAATAATAGGGAGACTGTATACACAAAAATACTTTTATGTTTTTCTCGAAATTGATTTTTCAATAATGATCGAAATGAGGACAAATTCTTTTTTCAGCATGCTTCATTCTAGAGAGTTGCATTGTTTCTAATTGATAGATATATGCATGGTGCTTCAAATAAGGGTAAGCAATTTTCTAATTAATCGTCAATACTGAATGAACCTTGAGTTTTCAAGAAAATTATGCCTAAAAATTCGAGCTTTTTGAAGTTTCGATGATTGAAAAAAAGAAAGAGTCAGACTTAAAACAACTGTTTCCCTCATTCGAAGGGGTTATGAGTTCTCTTTCAAATAAAAACCGTCTGAGCTCTGCAGATTGGTTTCTAGAAGTGTTCTAAACGATAAGGTATAGAGGCGTGATACTTTTGATATTAATGTACTTCCTTGAATTAAACATCTTCAGAAGGTCTTATACATATGTCATATATCCTGTCAAAGTTAGATTTTTGAGAGAGGACTATAAGTAAATTTATTTTCATCGTTCAGAAATTGCTAAGAGCCGTTCAAGACTCCCTTCAAAAAATCCATTTTGTCGAAAAAAATTGAAATTGAGTTTTTATCATAGGAAGATAAAACGAAATTTTCTCTCTTAGAATATTTATGACTTTTCGAAGAAAGATGACACTTCAACAGATTTCGAAGGAAATTGTGACCTCACAATAATGTTTTTCGATAGATTTTCGTGTTTTTTTTTAAGGTTGGGAAGATTGCATTTTTATATTTGTTAGAGTATTAAATAAACGTTATTGTAAATGCGACAGATGGTGCTAGTTGACGCCATGTGTTACGTGTTTTCAAAAATTCCATATAGATATATTATATGAATACGTCATTTTAATATGATTTTTTTTCTGGATTTGAATGAAAAACTCTATATCTAAACTTACTTACTGTTTTTCTCAAAACATGGTCTTTCACTCAGAAAAACTCAAGTTCCTACTATGCACTGCAACGTATAACTAATATTTTTTTTTGTTTGAAATGTTTCAATGAAAGTAAACTTTTGTTCGACCAAATTGTTATAGTTAATTTCTGTGTTGAAAAAAGCAAGGTGTAGTGTCATGAGTAGCCCCCGGCGTGACCATAAAACCGTGACTAAAGAAAAAAAGATTGTGTGATAGTAATTTTCATGTTGAATATGACAAAAACACTTTCGATTTAACTCTTTGTATTTAGAAATTTCTCCTCTTCAAAATGATGTATAAAATTTGAGGATACAATGATCTATACAAGAGAAAATAATGAAACATTTCCCGTGACCAGTTCTAGTCACGGTCAGTCACGAAAATTTCTGGTCACGGGAAATGTTTCATTGTTTTCTCTTGTATAGATCACTGTATTCTCAAGTTTTATATATCATTTTGCAGAGGAGAAAATTCTGAATATGAAGGATCAAGTCAAAAGTATTTTTGCTATATTCAACATGAACATTACTATCGAATAATCTTTTTTTCTTTGGACACGGTTTTATGGTCACGCCGGGGTCTAGTCATGAAGTAACATATTTTGCTTATTTTAATACTATATCTACTAAAAGAATCATAAAAAAATGAATGAAAGCTAGTTTCAAAAATGTATTGGCGCAAAAACTGCACACAGATATTGGTTTTAATCTGAAATAATATTGAGTGCTGTGCCTATTGTAACGACGAAATTATAGGAATTTTCCTTAAGACCATAAATGAACTTTAAAAAAGTCGAAACTTCACTCTGTTTTGACATATCGAACTGAAATTTGTATCGGAATCATTTAACACTAGGCTCACTCATTCTTAAAAACTGCAGTTTATATGAGTCATCCTAAATAGTAAATTTATTGTGAAGAAAAGAGCCTTAATGTTTAGTTTTTCCAACGCTTGTTTTTAGAACTATCGTTGAAATATTGCTAATTGACGAAAAGATAAGTCAAGAACCAATTAAAAAGGACAACAAAATTCCACTTCATCATGTTTATGATCATTAGGTTTTCGCAATTTTAGCTTTTCTTTTTCTTTTCTTTTCATTCATGAAATTGAGAACAGAACGACTAACACAAAAAAAGTCAGTCACCCATTATATAGTCGTCCTCGATACCTTTTTTCTTCCTATATACATAAGTGTATATTTATTGCTGTTTTGACAGATGAGATACCTACTACTTGGTTACTTGTTGCTGTCATGGCTCATCATTTTCTTTACTTTCTATACGAATAATATAAAAGGAGAGAAAAAGAAGGTAATAATCGAGTGACTGCACTTCGATTACTTCTCACAAATCATATGATGGGAATAACTTTTTTTGAAAATATGAATAGCTATTTATATGAATAATATTTGCTTTGAATCATTTTAAGACAAAGTTACATTATTTCATTTATTTTTCTTAGTAGTTTTTCTTTTCAGAATAAACAAGATGTACGCAAAAATTAATTCATATTTGGATCCAACAGGTGTTTTCTTTGGACATTCTCGTAAACGTCGATCGTCAAGACATGATATGGAAGACGAAGAAGTCAACAACGAATCTGATTATTACAACTCATCGCATGGTTCTGGTAATGAAGGAAGTGAGCCACCTCTTCGTTTTATTATTATTCGTCATGGAGAACGTGTCGATGTCATGTATGGTGCTGGTTGGACACAACGAGCATTTGATCGTGCTGGTCGTTATTATCCTTTTGATGCAAATATGCCACCATCATTACCACATCGAGCTAATTGGCTAGACTATGATGTCGATACTCCACTAACTGCTAACGGTTTAGCTCAATCATGGAATGTTGGTAATGTTCTTGCTAGATATAATTTACCGGTGACAGCATGTTATTCATCACCTGCTTTTCGTAGCATCCAAACAGCTGATGGTATTCTTGAAGGCATGGGACGAAAAGGTAACAATAAACATATATTTAAATAATTAAAATCATTTTTTTCTATTTCATCATTGAGGACATGTTCCATTAAGACTTGAGCTTGGTTTATTCGAATGTACATCTTGGTATGCTCGATCACCAATTAATTTTATGTCTGATAACGAATTAATTCATGGTGGCCATAATATTGATAGACATTATCGTTCACAAATGAGTCATCTTCGATTATTAGAAAATGAATATCAATATTATGATCGTTCAAAAGAAACAATGAAAAAAATTATCAGATTTCATCGAAAAACTGGTGGTACCATATTACTTGTTGGACATGCACCTAGTCTTGAAGTACTTACTCGACATTTAATGAAAGGACTACCAAGACCTGAAAGACTTGCTGAACTTGCTGGTAAAGTTGATTTTTGTAGTATGACTATTATCGAAAGAGAGTCATCATCAAAACCATGGCAATTTCGTTATTCACTTGATGAACAACCGAATCAAAATAATTGGCAACAACAACAACAACAACAACAGCAATTACAACATTCAAATAGTTTTTCAAATCTTTCGACACCTAAAGATATGGTAAAACTATCATCATCAGCTTATCAAACACCAGCTACTTATACTAATTATTTGGCCAAACCATCAACTTCACCATATCATTTTCATTTTTTTCCACAACAAGAAGCTTATCCACCCTATTTTGCTCTATAATACATTGTTGTTTATGATCAGAGTTTTATTTTAATTTGATATCTTATTTAAAAAAAAAAGTGATCATTGAATTGATGTTCAGAAGAAACAATATCTTCAACAAATATTTTAATTAATTAGATGACCTATTCGATTAAAGACTTTCTTTTTTGAATCGATTGAAATATCAACAGATGACTTTTGTGACATTGAAATCTTACAACGTAGAATGTACCATAAAATAACAGCCTATTTCTTCGTTTTGACATTTTTCATAAATCTTTTTCCAAGTTTATATGTTCAACGAACCTTTTCATAATGCTTCCTCAATATGGACTCTCAAAAACTTAACGATATAATTTATTTCAGAAATTGTTTCAAATGAGTTGAACTCATAGATCAGTTTTAGTGTGTAATATTAGAATAAACTCTTGAGGAAATTAATTGCAAAGGGAATAATAATAGTGTGATTGCCATTCATATATCAGACATGATTTAAAATGAG